TGGAATAGAGAAAAAAGCATTTGCAAGGTCCAATACATAATGATAAGTCCCCAGCTGAGTTTTCAGCTGATCCTTCAAGTTGTGAACTGAAGGCATGACTAAATGCAAAGGAGGCACTACTTTGTTCAGTTCTCAATAGTCCACACTCATTCTCCAGGTACCGTCAGGCTTTTTCATTGGTCATACTGGAGCATTAAATGGGCTATGAGCCAGACAAATAATGCCACCTTTCTATAAGTTCGATATAGTGGCACTTATCTCTGCATATCCTTCTGGTAGGTGATACTGCTTTACATTAACCGCACGTCTTGGCTTGAGTAACACCTGTGAGTCATGTTTAGCATATCCCTGTGACACAGGCTTTACTGTCAGTATTCACAGCTGAAACTCTCCAACTACTGTTTGCAGGTGCAAACCATAAAGTACATCCATACCCAAGATGTATTCAGCTACAGGGGATATATATATACAGTATTTATATGAAGAGGTAATCTTGGTATGCCCAATGGAAGTGACACAGCTTTGACCTCAGTAGTATGTCCTCCATAGCCATCTACATGAACTGTGGCCCCTGGATTGCCATATATCAGGTTACATTCTGCACCTGTATCCACCAATGCCAAAACATGTTGTACATTTGTCCTCAACCAATGTATCGCCAATTCAACATGAGACCTCCGGTCCTCACCTGCCCCCAAAAGACGAGCACCTTGGCCTGCTCCCTAGTCAAAATGGAACAGTTCATCCACCTCCTCAGGAGCAACCAAGAAATCTTTTAAACCCACTGAGCGTACCTTGCTACCTGTGTCCGGATGTTTGGTGAAACGCTGTTCAGGGCGCAGTAGCTGCCACAAGGCATTTGGCTGCTGGTCAGTTTTCTTTTTATCAATCCCTGCTGCAAGCAAGTCAAGCCATATCTGCTTATAGCTAGTCTTGCTTGGTCCCTTCGGGATAAAATCCTGAGCATTTCTTGGAGGTTTGGTCTTAGCCACCTTTCAGACCCCTTTTGCTTGTCTCCTATCCTCTACTTCCCCCAAGCTGGCTATCATGGTCATTACCTCATGTATAGGATGACCAATGTATGGGGTCCATATGACCATCAGTGACCCAAAGGATGTTGGCGCGGCATTCTGCAGCACTATGTCTCTCATGCTGCCTGTAAAGTTTTCATCGTCTGGGCCACGAATGTTCATGTTAAACATGGACTGCCGCATCCCCAGCTCTTGAATGATTTGGACCACTCAGCATATGTTTGCCACTTACTAACAATCTTGGGCAGTTCTCCAGCATTTTTCTACATGGTTTGGGCAGCTGCACTCACCCATTCCATTAAGGAGTGATTACCTCGCTCTGGTGAATACCTGCGAATATTCTGCAGCCACTGCCTCAGGGATGGGTACATGATGATGGAGGCCAATTTTTCCATCTCCTCACCAGAGCACATCCCACTATCCACCCCTAGGTCCCATAACCGCAACAGCCAAGCAGCCAGGGGCTCCCCGTGTTTCTGCCTGAACTGTCTCCCCAAATCAACC